GTCTCCCTTCTGGGAGACTCTCATCTCCCTTCTGTGTGACTCTTATCTCCAATTAATCAGAAGTAGTGCTTTGGAGTGCTAGCCCTGAGCAAAAGGAGCTTAAGGACTGCGTCCAGGTCCTGGACTGGCAAAAACCAAAACAATAAAAACAGTGGGATATTGGTGGATTATAAACAGATAGAAAAGAATATAGTCTAGAAATACACATAGTAATGTAGTATATGGTAAAAATAACATTGCAAATCAGAAGGTGGACTCTTTAAATGCTTTATTATTATTATTTGCTTTGTTGCATTTTGAGACAGCCTCAGACTGGTGTACAACTCAGGATTTTCCTGCCTCAGGTCCCCCTCTGGATTAAGGTCTGAATATTCAATAGTAACTAGATTCATAGCTGATATCAGTACAGGTCCTGGGATCCACAAACCCCATCAAATGCCCAATGACATTTCTTATTGAAATAGAGAAAACCAAAAATTCATACAGAAGAACAAAAGACCTCAATTGCTGGTGGTATCACAATCCCAGACCTCAAACTGTACTACTCAGCTAGGATAACAAAAACAGCTTGGTATTGGCACATAAAATGGAACATAAATGGAATAGATTAGAAAATCAATGGAATAGAATACCCAGAAATAAATTCATATACTTAAAGTTCTCTGATATTTGATAAGGGAGCCAAAGACAAATGATGGAAAAAAGACAGTCTCTTCATGTTGGGAAAACTGGACATTTATATGCAGAGACTAAAAGTAGATTCCTGATTGTTACCATACACTAATATGAACTCAAAGTGGATCAAAGACCATATCAGACCACAAACTGAACTTTCTCTAAGAGGGAGTAGGAGAAACAACTTAGACTTCAATGTAAAAACTAAGAAGATAATGATAAAAGAGTAACATTTAAGTGTTTGAAACTTTATTTATTTTTTGGTTGGTGGTAGGCCTGAACTCGGCCTGGGCACTGTCCTCAGCTCTTCAGCCCAAGGCTAGTGCTCTACCACTTGAGCCACAGCACCACTTCCGCCTTTTTCTGTTTATAGTGCTGAGGAATCAAACCTAGGGCTTCATGCCTGCTAGGCAAGAACTCTACCACAATAGGGCCACCTTCCCAGCCCTATTTTTCCTTTTTTGGTCCGGTCGTGGGGCCTGATCTCTGGGTCTGGGCGCTGTCCCTCAGCTCTTCAGCTCAAGGTTAGCACTCTACCTCTTGAGCCACAGTGCCACTTCTGGTTTTTTCTTTTTGTTTATGTGGTGCTGAGGAATCAAACCCAGGGCCTCATGCATGCAAGGCAAGCATGCAAGGCAAGCGCTCTACCACTGAGCCACCTTCCCAGCCCATATTTTAACTCTTGATGATGATTTGCTCTGTTTCCGTTAGTGGTGTTAGAAAACCTCCTCCTTTTCATTTCTATTGTATACAAGGTGGCATTGATTTACTATATTAAGTGTATGGAGAAACTGTTGCTACCCAAACGGTTTTAATGGTGTGACTTTGCATGGTTGCCGAGCTACTGCAAGCTAGTTAAACAAATATCCTATACATTTTTTCCTGTGGAGCTTAGAACAGTTGGTACCTGACATTTTTATGCTTCAAGACTTTAGCATTTTTCTTTGCTTAGAATTAAGATCATAATTATATACAACAAAAGAAAGTAGTAATTGTCTAATATAAAATAGCATGCTATTTTTTAAGTTTAGAGATCGATCTAAGGATTTATATTAGCTGCTTCTAAAAGTACAAAGTAAATTCATTGGCGCCAAAAAAAATTTTGTTTATGTTTACTTATTTATTTTTGGGTCCGATCGTGGGGCCTGAACTCGGCCTGGGCGCTGTCCCTCAGCTCTTCAGCTGTGAAGTCAGATCCACCCAGGCTTAAACCTTGACTAAACCATCACTAAGTTATAGAAAGCTTGAGCAAGCAAAAGCCTTTTCCATGTTTTCAGATCTCGAAGATAAAAATGATTATTCCTCTTTGGGTGGGGGAGCTGGAGATTGAACCCAAGTCCTTGAACATGCAAGCACTTCACCACCACTGTCTTAAGGCATGTAGTGCTTTATTAAGTATTAGCCTAATAAATTGTTGGTTGTCTTTTACTTTGCCATTGCCATCCTTTATTTCTAGTTCACAAGTTAGAAATAATTTCTCACTTTAGAAACAACTCTCTCCATTCTTTCTTAGGGTTACTATAAAGTTGTTTCTACTCCTGTTTCTTCCCTGGAACAAATCACTCAGCCTCAGCCTGTCAATGATACTTTGTTTCTCAGTAAGCTAAGGGAGTTAGATTATTTCCAAACTCATTATTTACTTTATCCTTTTGTTAAGATTAGAATTAAAATATTGGTCAAGAATTTGTTAGAGAATATTGTGACAAAAATGGTATAAATAAGATCTTCCCTCCCACCCCCCAGTTTTTAAATTAAACCTACACTTTATTGTTATTAAGGTTCCTTAAAGAAATGCTGTCGTGTTAAAATACAAACTACTGGTGAAAAAAACTCCCAACCTTTTCTTTTATGAATCATTTGTTATTTTTTTGGTAGAACTGGTGTTTGAATTTAGAGCTTCACTCTTTCTAGGTTGATCCCTATCGCTTAAACCACACTTCCAGCTTTATTTAATTTTTTTAGTTTTAATTTTTTTGGTTCTGGTACTGAAGCATGAACTCAAGGCCTCTTGCTTTTGTTTTATGTGCAGGGATAGCACTCTACCACTGTTCAGCAACTTGAGCCAAACTGCCACTTCCAGTTTTTTTATAGCTAGAGATAAAAGTCTTTGCTGTTATCTTCCTGGGCTGGCTTTGAACTAGGAGCCACCAGCTCCTGGCCTTTGCTGGTTATTTTGGAGATAGAGTCTAGCAAACTTTTCTGCTCAGGTTGGCCTTGACCAGCTTAGAGATCAGATATTAGCATGAGCCAATGACACCTGGCTTGAATTATTTCATTTTGTAAAATTTTAAATATTTTTCTCAATCACAAACTTTATCATTTTATCATTAAATTCAGGACTTTTGTGGCCTACATATAGACAAGATGAAAAAATGATATTTACTATACATTACTAGAAGTCACTTTTTTGTTTGTTTTGCAAGGCTGGTGCTCTACAACTGCAGCCATAGCAAATTAACATGTAGCAGTGCACACCGAATATTAATATAAAAGGTGCACGAGCTTGTGCCACTAGTCAATTGGTTAATATAAATGATCAAGCCCAGCCAGGAGCTGGTGGCTCACATATGTAATCCTAGCTGCTCAGAAAGCAGAGATCTGAGGATCATAGTTTGAAGCCAACCAATGTAGAAAAGCAAAAAGCTGGAAGTGAAGCCATGACTCGAGGTAGAACACTAGCCTTAAGCAAAAAAGTTCAGGGACAGCGCCCAGGTCCTGAGTTCCAAACCCTAGGACCAGCACCATAAAAAGAAAAAAAGTATCTGGTCCCAATATGATGATTAACCAAGACATTCTTATCACTTGGAAAATTCTTAAGAATTTAGATACCACCTCCCAGAAACTAAGGACAAAAGCCAAATTCTTTATTGATAAGAAAACTTCAAGTTTTCTCAGACTTCTCAACAGGCCTATGCCCACCTTCCCCCCAAAACAAACATTAGTCTTAGAATATCTTGGAGCCATGATATTTTTTCTTGGTATCGTTATATTGTATGCATTTTAGTGGGCTGCACTTGTGTTTACATTCTGTTCTTAACACTGTATGACCATTTTCTTTGACCATTAAAAAAAAAAAAAGTGCTGAAGGAAATTGGGCCCTACAGCCTCACACATGTAAGCACTCCTAACTACTGAGCTAACATCCCCAGCCTTTGGTATTTTGAGATAGGGACTAGCTCTATATCTCATGCTGATTTTGAACTCCTATGTAAAACAAGCTGGCCTCAACTCACAGTCCTCTGCCTCCTTCCAGTTGCTAGGATTATAGGAATGAACCACAATATCCATTTTTGTTTTTATATGTTGATACCAGGGCCTGGCACTGTTCAAATCTAGCATTCTGCCACTTGAGCCACAGTTCCACTTCTACGGTTTTTATTGGTGGTTACATTGGAGATAAGAGACACATGGATAAGAGTCATATGGACTTTACTGCCTGAGCTGGCTCCTAACCAGGATCCTCAGATCTCATTCTCAGTAGCTAGGATTATAGGCATGAACCACTGTCACCTGGTGTCAGTTTTTTCATTTCTCTTTGTTTTTTATTTTTTGTTTTTTGTTTTTTTTTTTGGCGGTTGTGGGGCTTGAACTCTGGGCCTGGGCGTTTGTCCCTCAGCTCTTCAGCTCAAGGCGAGTGCTCTACCACTTGAGCTACAGCACCACTTCCGGTTTTCTAGTGGTTTATTGGAGATAGGAATCTCATGGTCTCTCCTGCCCGGGCTGGCTTTGAACCGCTATCCTCAGATCTCAGCCTCCTGAGTAGCTAGATTACAGGCGTGAGCCACCGGCGCCCGGCTTTGTTTTTTGTTTTTTTGTCGGTCATGGGGCCTGAACTCTGGGGTTAGACGCTGTCCCTGTGCTCTTCAGCTCAAGGCTAGTGCTCTACCATTTGAGCCATCCTGCCACTTCTAGCCTTTTCTGCTTATGAAGTGCTAAAGAATCTAACCCAGGTCCTCATGCATGCAAGGCAAGCACTCTACCACTGAGCCACCTTCCCAGCCCCTTTTCATTTCTCTTTAAAGCCTATTTTGTATGTATATTATTTTAAGTAATATTTCTATAATTCAGAAGCTCTGCCCAAGCACAGAGCATTTTGTGATTCTTTTTGGTTGGTAACATTTTATAATTGGCAACTCTTGATAAAGGAAGGAGATGTACTCCTTACCTAACTTATGTAACTGTAACCCCTCTCTGCATCACTTTTATAATAACAAATAAAAAGGAGGGAGAGTCCTTCAGCTATTAATACCAAATGAGATAAGCAACTGGTTGAAAACCATGTCAAATTCAACATTATTCTTAACCTGGTCTTGTTACATTTCTAGGAAACTACTAAAGTTCCTGTGGAACCAAAGTAAAATTGTATAAGAACATAATGGGTAAGTTATACAAAGGTAATTTTGTGTTTTCAACTAGTAGAAGCTGTTTATTCTTAAACATAGGCTTTCAAAGTTACTAAATGGAAGAAAATGGTTAAACTGAAATTACTGTTTATGTAAATCAAGTTTATATTTACTGTATGTTCCTAGAAGGCAGATCAGTAACAATTTTGTGCCAACTGTAGTAGCTTGTATCTTAAGAAATTAAGACTTCCCAAAAAACAAGTAATAGGATTTTGAAAAAAATTGTGTTTATTGCAGTACTTGATAAGAACTTAAATCTTCATTCTTTCAAGAGTTGGCAAGCCAGGTGTGGGGTGGCTCACATCTATAATTCTAGCTATTCAGAAAGCTGAGATCTGAGGATTGCAGTTAAAAGCCAGAGTTGACAAACTTAAGATTCTTATCTCTGGTTAACCATGAAAAAGCTAAAAGTAGAGTTGTGGTTCAAGTGGTAGAGTGCCATCCTTGAGTGAAAAAGCTAAGAGAACAGTGCACACACAGGCCCTGAGTTCAATCCCCAGTACCAGCACACACAAAAAAAGAGTTGGTAAAACTGCTAAAAATCTGTAAGTTTGTTCACTGGAATAATTACATTCAAGAAATACATGAAAAAAAATTGTGAAAGACGTGTTGAGTAGCCAGTTGTGTGTAAAGCTAGCACAGAGTAACATTTGTGTTCTCTCTTTTACCTCTACTTTGATTTTGTTGCTACTGTGATTCTGGGGATAAAACTCTGGAACTCACATATACTGGGAGCATATTTTACCACTGAGCTACATCTGTAGCCAAGCCTGGGTTTTTATTTTTTTATTTTTTGTTGTCTTATCTTGGTGCGAGTAGTGGGTCTTGACCTCAGGCCTCACATTATTTAGTTTTGCCTGCTAAAAGCTGGTGTTATGTCATTTGAGCCATACCTCTACTTGTGGCCTTTTGCTCTTAATTGGAGGTGACTCTTTGATTTGTCCCCCTAGTCCCGGAGTGGCTTCAAACCTTGATCCTTGGATCTTAGCCTTCAATATAGCTAGAATTACAAGAATGAGCCACCAACACCCAGCCTGAGGCTTGTACCAGTCCTGAGGCTTGAACTTAGAGCTTGGGTGCTGTCCCTGAGGTTTTGTGAGCTGTTATTTGGAACACAGCTCCGCTTCTGGCTTTTTCCTGGCTTTTTCCTGGACATAAGAGTCTCATCTACTTTCTTGCCCAATGTAGCATTCAAATCCGTGATTCTCAGATCAGTCTCCAAAATCATACCACTACTTTTTTTCAGATGGAGAGGAGAAAACCTATGGTGGCTGTGAAGGCCCTGATGCCATGTATGTCAAGTTAATATCTTCTGATGGTCACGAATTTATTGTAAAAAGAGAGCATGCACTAACATCAGGAACAATAAAAGCCATGTTGAGTGGCCCAGGTAAGTAGTTTTATCCCACGTATCTTTTCATGCTTGTTATGAGTTGAATCAAACGAAAGCATTTAAAGAGAAAGCAAGCAGGTGATAATAATCCCAGCTACTTATAAAGCCAAGGCTAGGGGATTCTTGAGTTCAGGTGTTGGATATGCAGCTACTGAGGGAGCAAAATAGAATTGTTGTTTCTGGCCAGACCAAGCCAAAAAAAATTTATCAAGACCCAGTTTCAAAAACAAGCTGAGACCCAGGCACCGCAGCTCAATGCCTGTAATCCTAGCTACTCAGGAGGCTGAGATCTGAGGATCACGGTTCAAGGCCAGCCCAGGCAGAAAAGTCTGGGAGATTCTTATTTCCAGTAAACCACTCAGAAAACTGGAAGTGGCGATGTGGCTCAAGTGGTATCACCTTTAGTCCCAAAACACCTTTTTTTCAAAAGGAAACTCCTACACTCATTATACTCTACTACTTGAATCACAGCTTCACTTCTGACTTTTTGGTGGGTAATTGGAGATAAGAGTCTGATGGACTTTCCTTCCCAGACTGGCTTTGAACAATGATCCTCAGATCTCAGCCTCTTAAGTAGCTATGATTGGTGAACCACTTGGCCATGTGTGGTCTTTTTTTTTTTTTTTTTGCTTGAACTCAGGGCCTGGGCACTGTCCCTTAGCTGCTTTTTTTGCTCAAGGCTAGCACTCTACCAACTTGAGCCACAGTGCCACTTCCAGCCTTTTCTGTTTATGTGGTGTACTGAGGAATCAAATCCAGGGCTTCATGCACTTCTACCACTAAGCCACATTTCTGGCCCATGTTTGATCTTTTTAGTCAATCCTAGCTACTCAGTAACTTGAGATCTTTGAATCACAGTCCAAAGCCAGTCTGGGCAGGAAAGTCCATGAGACTTTTCACCAAAAAGCCAGAAGTAGAGCTTTGGCTCAATTGATAGAGGGTTAGCCTTGAGCAAAAATGCTCAGAATCAATGCTTAGGCCCTTGATCAAGATTCAGGACTGGCACAAAAACACACAAAAGATATAGTAGTAACTGATCTCCACTCTGAAAAAATGAGCAGATGATTGTATATTAATGTCAACATCCTTAAACATATCCATATGATCAGTGTCATGCTCCTGCTTCTGTTTTTATTGTGATCTGAAGCTTTTAAGTTCTATTTCTATGGATCTTTCCCATTTAAACATGAAAATTTTGAGTGTTTTACTTGCTTTTATTCAGTCATCTTTGTAGGGTTGGGTTTTTTGGTTTGTTTTTGTTTTAGTGCCTGTTATGAGACTTGAACTCTGGGCCTGGGCTCTGTCCCTGAGCTTTTGTTCTCCAAGCTGGCATACTAGCCCTTTGAGCTGCAACTCCACTTCTGGCACTGCGTGCCTGTGTAATTGGAGATAAGAGTCTTCATTGGCTTTCTTGCCCAGGCTGGGTTTGAACCATGATCCTCAGATCTTAGCTTCCTGAGTAGCTTGGATTACAGATGTGAGCCACCTGCGCCCAGCATGCTTTTGTTTTATTTAGGGTTTCTTCTTTTGGTTATTTTTGAGGTAGAGCCTCACTAGGTTGTGCTACTGTGCTTCTTCATGTCACTGGAGATTATAGGTACATGCCACTACACCAGCTATTGTGCTTCCTGGTACCAAAGATAGCAGGCACGCTCCTCTGCCCAGCCATTGGTTGAGATGGAGTTCTGTGAACTTTTTGTCTGAGCTGACTTTGAATCACAATCCTCTATCTTTGTCCTTTAAGTAGCTGAGATTCTAGGCTTAAGTGACTGCACTAGGTACTCAATACTGTCTTGAAATGTTACTCAGAAATCAAGGATCATTTTAAAATTTTTCTTTTTTCTTTTCCTCTCTCCCTCTCCCTCTCCCTCTCTCTCTCCCTCTCTCTCTCTCTCTTGTTCCTAGGGCTTGAATTCAGGGCCTGGGCTTTGTCCCTAAGCCTCTCTGTGCTCAAGGCTAGCACTTTACCACTTGAGCCACAGCACCACTTCCCACTTTTTCTGTTGATGTAGTATTGAGGAATCTAACCCAGAGCTTCATGCATGCTACATAAGCACTCTACCACTAAGCCACATTCCCAGACAATTTTTTTTTAATTTTTGGTCAGCCATGGGGCTTAAACTCAGGGCCTACTTGCTATCTCTAAGCCTTTTTGCTTAAGTCTAGTGCTCTACCACATTGTCACAGTGCCACTTTGTTATTCTTTTAACATATATTTTATTGGGACTCCTGTAACAAAATAAACTATAGACCGTGTGTGTGTGTGTGTGTGTGTGTGTGTGTGTGTGTGTGTGTGTGTGTGTGTGTGTGTGTGTGTGTGTGTGTGTGTGTGTGTGTGTGTGTGTGTGTGTGTGTGTGTGTGTGTGTGTGTGTGTGTGTCTCTTTTCTTTTTTGGTACTGGGGATCAAACCCAAGACGTTGCACTTGCTAGGCAAGCACTTGCTAGGCAAGCGCTTTGCCACTGAGCTACATCCAGCCCAAGACCAGATGTCTTTAGTAACAAAACTTCTTGTCTTATGATCCTGGTTGTAGAAGCTGAAGGTTAGGATTAGCAGAGGTGATTTCTGAGATCTATTTTTGCCTTGTAAATAGTGGTTATCTTTTCCCTGTGTCTTCCCATGGTTTTTTCTTTGTGCCACTCTTCATCTAATCTCTTATGAAGATACCAATTATTTTGGATTGCTATATGAGACCTCCTGTTTTAACTTCTAAGTACCTCTTAAAAGACCTCATCTCAGCCTGTAGTCCTAGCTACTCAGGAGGCTGAGATCTGAGGATCGCGGTTCAAAGTCAGTCCAGGCAGGACACTCATCTCCAATAAACCACCAGAATACTGGAAGTGGTGCTGTGGCTCAAGTGGTAGAGTGCTCACCTTGAGCTGAAGAGCTGAGGGACAGTGCCCAGGCCCACAGTTCAAGCTCCAAGACCAACAACAACAAAAAAGACAGTATCTCTGTATATAGTCACATTCTGAGGTTCTATGGGTTAAGACAGCCAAATTGGGAGAGGGAAAAGAGGCACTATTCAGACCATAACATACATAATCATTTTGTTTTGCAGGTCAGTTTGCTGAGAATGAAACCAATGAGGTCAATTTTAGAGAGATCCCTTCACATGTGCTATCAAAAGTATGCATGTATTTTACCTACAAGGTTCGCTACACTAACAGCTCCACCGAGATTCCTGAATTCCCAATTGCACCTGAAATTGCACTGGAACTGCTGATGGCTGCGAACTTCCTAGATTGTTAAATAAAATAAATTATAATAAACTGTTAATTTTTTCAGTATTTAATACCTGTAGTTCAGTTAGTAATTTTTTCACTTAGCATGTTGCCTGTATGCAATTGAACTATAAAGTTAATTGCAAAGCAAATTATCTTCTGTTCTTTTGCATAGCAATCAGAGCTGAAATTTGTTTGCTATATTGACAAGTTAAGGACGTTTTCACAAACTAAGAAATAAACAAATAATGACAATTCGTAGGTCGTTTTGTTTATCCTTTGGATGTGACTTTTAAAATAGAACAATCATATAAATACTGAAATGTAGGCATAAATGAACATGTCCTACAGATAAATAATGGGGCTAAGTATTTTTATGTTTTTAGTGTTTTTTAAAATATTTTGATCTTATAGCTGCTTCTTCTAGCATTACTAGAGTTATGCAAATAATTACATGAAAAATTTGTTTATAAGTTAGCCAAATCATTGATTTTTATAACTCAAAGGATTAAGAGTTGAAATTTCTTATGTGTTTTTTTGATAAACTGCAGTATTGTTTTAATTGTATCTTGTGTTTTGTTTATTGCTACAACTTAAGGTCTTTATTTAAAAGCAATTTTGGAAGTTATTAGGTACAAGTTTTACATTAGTAACTGAACCTGTAGCCAGATAATCAACAAGTGAACTACATAACTAAAGAGTTCCTGTGCATTGTATGTTTTGGACAACTCAAAGTATTGTACTTACATTGATTCTAAAGCTTCCTTTCTTGGGATTACACTTGTTTAAATGTATTTTAAAATATTCTATGAGCTTTATCTAGATCTTAAGAGCTAGACTTCTTTGAATTAGTCTTCCTCCATCTAGTTGGAATGTCATAAGAACCTTACAATGCACTCAATAGTACATGAATTATCTATGAAAATATTTGAATAAATATACAACAATCAAAAAATATACTACAATCAGTGGGTCTTCTCAAAACTCAAGGAAGTTAATCAGCTTTTAATTATATAGACAAAAACATTTGAAAAGTATAATAGTATCTTTGTTTAGGCATTGGAAAAGAACTACTGGAGCTGGGTTTAGTGTTTAGAACAAAACCATCATAATGAAGTCTATAGACTTAAGTCCAATTTCCTTTCTTAATAAGACTAGCTTGATATAGCCCTATTTTTCTTCAGAAACTATAAACTAGAGTAACTTCTTTTTGAAAGCCAAAACATTATACTTCGTACCTTATTAAAAGTGGTTAAGGTGCCTGTAATCATAGCTACGAAGGAGGCTAAGATTAGAGGATTGCAGTTTCACGCCAACTGGGCTGAAAAGTCAGACATTCATATCTCCAATTAATCATCACAAAAGCCAGAAGTGGAGTCTTTGCTCAAGTAGTAAGGCACTAGCCTTGAACACAAAAGCTCAGGAACAAGGCTCAGGCCCCGATCCAGAGCTGGCCAAACAAAAGTGGTTAAACAATACTTAAATTTTTTCCATCCTGTCTTTTTAAGACATAAATATCTTTTAGTATAAAAGATTATTAAATACAAGAACTATATTCTGTGGCTAGGGATTTAGTTCATTGGCAGGAAGTTGTTGCTTCAGTCTGTAGTCACACCAAGTGATAGAACAGAGAATAAGCAAAAAGCCAGCTCACTTACTGTTTAGATTATATGTAAATATCCTCAATATTTCTTTTCCACAGAACATACTACCACTGCTTTTTGTTCAATTTATTTTTTTAACAAAGAAATAAATGCCTTGTTTAATATTACATTTTTGTACTATCTAGGTTATGTGTTAGAATTTTTTTCCCCTATATAGTTAGTAACTGTCTTACTTGTGATACTAAGGAATAAAGCTTATATGCAGTGAATTTAGCTCATTCCTTAGAGAGCGCCTGTAGACATCTTGCTCTGTGTGGATTTGCCATCTTAGTTTCTTTTTTGCTAAGTTTAATAGCAAAGTGTAGATACTCTGAGAAACAATGTAAGAATTATTGTTAAAGATTGAAAGGCTTAAGCCAAGTGTGGTTCACATCTATAATTCCAGTATATGCAGTAGGATAATCAGATTCAAGTCAGGCCCAGCTCCATAGCAAGACCTTGCCTCAAGAAAAAAATGAAGTGTTTAATTCAAGTAATTCCTACTACTCCAATAGAGGAAATTTTATACAAATTAAATGAAGCTATAATGTGTCCAGCATTGCCAAGCTGAAATCTGGTTGACTTTAATCAAGCTCTTAAGGTCTGGTACTTAAATGATACTATTGATTTGTATGTGTTCTCTTATTCGCAATATATAAATACTGAGCCAGTCATATCTGTGCTTTTTATTGTTTGTATTAATTAGACAAAACTCTTTAGATTGTACCTAAGGGGTTTTTTGTTCTTAAGTTTTTTAAACTGAAAATTAAAAAGAAATTAGCCTGGAACTATTTTTGGTATAGTCGAGCACCAGCATAGAAATTAGAAAGTCTAGATCTTGTGCTGATTAGCTGTGTGACCTTAATCAAGACCCTGGCCCTCTGCTGCACATCTGTAGTATTATGAAATTTTACATGAATAAGGCAGTGTTTTACCATCAATAGTTTATCTGCAGGAACTCAGGGCCTTTTTTCCAACTTAACATTTTTCTGAAAAATTTTTATTAATTTACTTTGTTATAGAGGTAATGTACAGAGGGATTACAATTACATGAGTCAGGGACTTTGTTATAGAGGTAATGTACAGAGGGATTACAATTACATGAGTCAGGGAGTGCGTACATTTCCTTTCAAACAGTATCCTCTGTTCCCTTACTCTCCTAGTCCTTCCATCCCATCTCTACACACGAATTGTATAGTTCACCTTCATCAGTGTCCAGTGAGCTCTACTGCTGTATCTTGTTCACATTCAGGGCCTTCTGCAGCTTTTGTTGGGCTCAAGGCTTACTACTGTACTACCTACGCCACACTTAAGAGGTAAGCATTTCATGGATTTAATTGCTTGGGCTGGCTTCAAACTGTAGTTCTCAGATCTCAGCCTCCTGAGTAGGTAGGATGAGGCAGTCACACCGGACTCTCCCAATTTTTTATTATGGTCAGTCCTGGGGTTTGAACTCAGGGCCTGGGCACTGTCCCTGAACTTGTTTTGCTTAAGGCTAGCACTCTACCACAGGGCCGCTTCCAGCTTTTCTGTGGATGTGGTACTGAGGAATTGAACCCAGGGCTTCATGCATGCAAGGCAAGCACTCTTATCACTAAAGCCACATTCCCAGCCCAGTAAAACACTTTAATAGCAATAGCAAATGTTAGAAATTGGTATGGTGCCAAAGTAATGAGAATGTTAAAAAGAATGGGTTGATGTTTAGATTGTATAGATGGCTACAAGGACAGAAGAAAGGAAACTTTAAAAACATGCATCTGAGTAAGCCTAGGGTTGTGCAGATTCCTCTCAGTTTCAGGCCCTAGGAACTTGCTTCCATGCACCCAATACTACCTTGTTTTCTTTTCTTTTTTTTTTTGGTCGGTTGTGGGGCTTGAACTCTGGGCCTGGGCGCTGGTGCTCTTCATTTCAAGGCAAGGGCTCTTACCACTTGAGCCACAACACCACTTCCGGTTTTCTGGTGGATTATTTGAGATAAGTCTCATGAACTATCCTGCCTAGGCTGGCTTTGAACTGTGATCCTCATATCTCAGCCTCCTGATTAGCTAGGATTATAGGAGAGAGCCACCAGCCCCTTGTTTTCTAGTGAATGAGATTGTTTTTAGACATTAATAAATCCATTATTCTATCAGGTTAGTAGAATTACCTAAAGAGAAGTTGAGCCCTTAAGATTAGACATTAAATATTTCACTCCAATACTAAACCTAGATTTACAATCTTTGTAGTTTTTGTCTGTCAGTTGGGCCTAAACTCTGGGCTAGGGCTCTGCCCAACTCTTCAGCTCAAGGCTAGTGTTCTACCACTTGAGCCACAGCACCACTTTCAGTTTTTTCTGCTTATGTGGTGCTGAGCAATCAAACCCAGGGCTTTGTGCATGCTAGGCAAACACTCTACCACTGAGACACTTTCTCAGCCCTGTAGGTTTTTAATTTTATTTTTTATTTTTAAATTTTAACGGCTGCTTAGACTTAAGTTCAGGGTCTACTTAGTTCAGCTTTTTCTGCTCACAGCCAGCACTCGACCACTTGAACCAGGCTTTCAATTTCAGCTATTTGCTATTTATTTGGAGATGTAGACTCTTGGATTTGTCTGCTAAGGCAGACTTTAAACCTTTATTTTCAGCCGTCTGGGTAGCTAGAATTACAGTTTTGGGCCACTGATGCCTAACTAGCTTTGTACTTTTTGGTTTCCTGAAATACATAAAGGAACCCTTTTCCCTTTTTTTTTTTGCTGGTCAAGGAGCCTGAACTCTGGGCCTGGGGGCTGTCCCTCAGCTCTTCAGCTCAAGGCTAGCGCTCTACCACTGGAGCCACAGCGCCACTTCCTGCTTTTTCTGCTTATGTGGTGCTGAGGATTCGAACTCGGCCTCATGCATGCAAGGCAAGCACTCTACCACTGAGCCACCTTCCCAGCTCTTCCCTTCATTTTTATCTGTTTGTTAACGGATAATATAAAGGAGAAATTATATTCTATCATTTTGTGCTAGTATAATTTTAATGTCAGGTCAACCTGAAAGTCATGTACTAATTTAAGAATTTACCTTGAATTAAATACATACATGACTTCATGTATCTCTAAGCTGAGAACAGAAGAGCAATATTTGGTTTTTCCCTAGGTGCTAGAGATAGAACCTAAGGCCTCACACATGCAAGATAAACACTTTATCACTGAGCTACATCCCTAATCCCTAGAAAACCCTAGTTCATTTATTTGTTGGTCCTGGGATTTGAATTAGGGGCCTCACACTAAGTAGGCACTCTACTCTTGGAGCCACATCTCCAACTCAAGAAAACCAATTTTAATGTCCTGTGAAATAATTTACTGTCTCCGTGTTCCCTAGTTTGGTTCCCTTACTCTCAAGTTTTGGTGGATTTTTTTTTTTTTTTTGATGTTTTATTTGTAGTACTAGGGTTTGAACTAGGCCCTGTACTTCTAGACTGATTCTCTACCACTTGAGCCACACCCTTGCCCTTCAAGTTTTTTAAGTTGTGAAAACTTTGAAGTTGCTTGGCCATAAATTTCATAGTATTAGTCATCAGTTTATTCTACAAATTAGTTTTCTGGAGTTTTGTTTAGATGCAGGCCATTGCTTATGCTAAGCATCAGCTCTACCACTTACTCCAGCTCCCAACCTTTTGTATCTAAGAT